CAAGGAAGAGTCAATTTCGAGACCTAAGGAATGGGTGGTCTCTTAGGCATAGAAAATAGATTTAGGAGTGGTTGAGCCAAATAAGGTGGAAACAGTTTTTCGCCCTAGTCTAGAATAAATGTCCTGAGCTGAAAAAGAGAAATAGCGGTGCTGCTAGGATTAGAGGTCAGAGGCATCCTAGACAGGAGGACCATACCTGGAAGGGCCATGCCAAAGGGAGATGAGGCCACCTCCAGAGGCCTCCATCTTCTATGGGGGATCCTGTGAGAAGTCCAGTCTGTACCCGACGTGCCTCAGGACCAGGCAAGCTCTTTCATCCTGTCTACACTGTTTACATGCTTATGCCTCATTAGGGATTCTAGTAGCTGAGCCTCAGGGGACACCATAACTACTGCCAGCACAGTGTGCACTCAGGCTGCTGGCTGTCTGATGGGAGTGCACATATCTGTGACCTGGACATTGTTGAGATCCCCCATGGATTGTGACCTGTGAGAACACCTTTCCTGGACATCTAGATGGCCCCTGACACCTAGAGAAAGAAAGTGTGTGGAAGCCAAAGTCACCTTGCAACCCTGTACCTCATAGGTGTGATACAATGGAACCAGCCCAAGACCCCTTTGAAACATTACAATTTTGTAGTAGTTGCTTTTTATCATTCTTACTAATATTTGATGCTAGGCAAGTAACAGAACTTGCCTGAGTCTCAATTTCCTCAATTTCCTGAATTCCACTCAGCTCTAAAATTTTATGATTTCTCTCTCTACTTTTCCAGATTAACTGTTCTTCATAAATATGCAGTAACTGCTTGAGAAATATTCAGATGTCATCATTTTTAAGTCACGAGAGATTGAGATGTAAAAATTAAAATAAAAATGAAAAGTTGGGCTACTTTAACAGACAGCATGAATCGACTGCCAGAAAGAACTTGCTTATAAAATGCCAAATTAATGACAGTTTTACTCAGTTTTTATTGATTTCCTTCACTTTCATCTGCTATAATTTTTAAATAGTATCTGCACCTGAGGCCAAAGCATACCGACATTAAAACAGATCATCTGGATTTTTATAATCAGCATTGAAATGAAGGTCAGAAATGATCAAATAAATGATCTTTAGGTAATGGCAGTTACAGCCATTACCCTATTTCACAGATAAGGAAACTGAGGCTTTGAAAGTTAAGTAACTTGTTTCACATAATTATTAAGTGTAGAAGCCAGAACTCATGCCCCGGCCTATAGAATTTCCACACTCAAGCAAAGAACACTGAAGTATAAACTGTATAGATTTTATTCCATGTGTCATTTATATTCATATTGCCTCACTAACTTGCAGATTTTGTTGAATGTCCATTTCTCTTCTCTTACCAAATCATTTTCATTCCAATTCCTTTCCTTTAGAAAACCCATCACCATTGACAAGTTTGCGTTGCTTGAGCTTATGATGCATTAGAGAGAACATTTGGACAAAACAAAAGCATGAAACTTTCCGAGAAGTTATGCCTGTGCTGTTGTAACTGTGCCACTGATTCTCCCTAAAAAAAAAATACTTCTCAGGGTAGAGCTAGATTTAAAGGGAACTATATTAAAAAATGAGTCATTCTTCTTTCAGAACTAATTTTAAATGGTTAGAAAATGAGAAAGCCTGTGCAAATATGCTATGGGTTATTAAATCCTGGTTTGGACTACACTGCAAATGGGTGTGGGTAAATATCAGCCACAGAATGATAATCATTTAAGTCCAGCAGGCTCCCATGCTGCCAAAACTCCACTCAGAATGGAATCCCCACTTTAAATACTGTATGTTCAGACCACTTCTGACTTTTCTTTGACATAAGGCCTGAAACTAGGAGAGAAAAATAAATCGACACACTTGACTACGTAAAAATTTTAAAGTTGGCATGGCAAAAGATACCATTAACACGGTTAAAAGACAAAATGAGGGGAAAAAACTGACCAAATAGGTGACATGCATGATTCCCACCTATGATATCTTAAGGATGTCATCAAAAAACAAAAACAATCTAATTGAAAAATAGGCAAAGGGCATAAAGATGACAAAAGATAAGGATTAACAATTATGTGAAAGATTTTTAAAATTCACTGTTAATCTAAGAAATGCATATTTAAAAACAAATAATTATTGTGTTTTTCAGATTAACAAGGACCAAAATGTACAATATCCAGAATGTAGGAGAAAGGGCACTGCTGATGAAAAATAATTTTGCAATATCTATAAATTTTTAAATGTGTCTACTAAATAACCAATACTATTTTGAGTGCTTTTCTTCTGGAAATATTGAACATCTGCTTAAAGATATGTACATATGTTCAAGAATGCTTATAATAATATTAAACATTTTTGGAAAAAAAACTACATTGCCATTATTAGGAGACTGGCTATAAGAATTATAATTAATTCCTAAATAAAATACTGTGTATTAAAAAATAATTAGGTAATTATAGACATACTGGTATGGAAAGATCACAATATACTGTTCATAATAGGGTTTAGGCAGCAAAAGCTGTAAAACACTATCATATTCCATTAAAAACTATAACAATAATTATTTAAAAATATTATTTTATTGCAAATGGTTATTGGAAAATGTCTGAAAGGATATAAATTAATCTGCTAATAATAGTTATCTTTTGGAGCTGCGACTACAGAGAAATTCCACTGTGTGGTGTAAACATTTTTGTATTGTTTGTATCATTGACAATTAACATGTATTATTCTTGCCTTCAATTAAAAATGTACAGAACATGTTTTTTAAAGACTAGATCTGATCATTTCACTTTTAAGGGCTTTTACAATATGCTAGAGTGAGTGAACTGATATGTATTCTAGGAATGATCAGTCTTTATCTAACCAATGACAGTTCAGAATTTCTCCATAGGGCAGGATAATTATGGAAAGCAAATGAGTCAATGCAGGGAAAACAACTGTAAACTGAAGGACACTCAACAGGTATGAAGGACTCTGAGACTCTGGACAACTCCGAAGTAATACTATGTCAGTACTTCTTCAGAAGATAAATTCTTTATTTAAATATTTTCCCTGTGACCCCATATCTAAATTGTATGTTTGTGGTCACAGGATTTACAACAAATCAATCATAGGGATTTGCACTGATTGCAGAAAAACACTTATGAAACAATAGGCCGATCACAGGAAAAGTTTCACCCAATTTCAATGCCTGGAAATTATATTTAAAAGAGCAGAGAGTGATATTACCAAAATCAGCCACAAAGCAACCAAAACTTTGTTGTAACCTTCTATATGGTACTGCTGCTACTATTTTAGGAGGAGCTGTCACTGACATTAGCCACCTCTCCAGATTCTGTAGGAGATGATGACTATCCCAAATGAATCAAATAAAGAGAGATTAGAAGAACAGAACTTTGCTGCCAGGCAGACTTGGCTTGCTAGACATGGACTGTTGGGTATGTAACTCATGGCAAAGCAAACAATAACCAATACTCACTTCCACTTCCGCCCTTACTTTCCTCCACTAAAAGAAATTATAAAAACGAAATACTCACTGCTTCAGTCTTCTTCACAGCAAGAAGCAGCCAGGAAATATCGATCGTCTCAACAAGTCTATAGAGGAAATCTGCCGAGCCTACTTTCTTTCCTGATAAAAAAGACAGAGAGAACAGGTGTTTTTCTTCCTTCCTTGCTCCTGCCTGGAATGTAGACATGCTGACTGTGGAAGTCACAATAAGTCCAAGAGAAGGCTGAGAGTAGCATAAAGATGCTGGCTTTGATATCGCTGAGTTGCTTAATCAGAGCAAGCAGTTGCCTCTTCCCCAGCGTTCTTGTCATGGTAGGAAAATTAATTCATTTAAGTCACTGTTAGATGGATATTCCATTACCTACTACAGAAAAAGATTTCTAATACATATTTAATCTCTCTAAGCAATAGTTTACTAATCTCTAAAATGGAAAATGAGGATAACCGTGCAGATGATATACACAAACATATATAACCTATATGTATACATATATAATCTATGATATATTCAAATCATTCAAATCCTTGCTCAAATGATGGTCTTTAGAAAAGTCCTACCTGACAACTCTATATAATTAGCATTGCTCATCATTATCTGCTTTATTTTTTTTTCATTGCAGTTTGCATTAAAAATATATAGTATCAGTTGTTTATCTACCTGTTGTCTGGGACTCTCTACTAAAATGGAAACTCCATGAGGTAAGAAACTTTATTGTGTTTATTACTGTATTTCTAGCACTTATAATTGTGTTTAGCACATAATTCACATTCTATCCATATTTATTAACTAATGAATGAACAAATTAATGTATATAGAATGTTTAGCATATAAATGGCCTAATAAATGATAGTGGTTTAGGTGTTATATATAGAATTATGGTTATTGCACAAGCAACACCACTGGGAGAAACTGAGCCTGAGAACAAGAGGTCATTATACCTACCCTAGAGATCTAGCACACACATGCACAAGGCCATATACACAACTGTTCACAGCAACACCTTTTTTGTAAAAGCAAAATAATGCAATTTAAATGTCTATCAATAAGTTTAATAAACTTTGGTATATCCATATCATGGAAAAATATTCAACTATTAAAAAGAATGACTGAGATCTATATTGTACTGATGTGAATAGATCAACAAAATGCAGTGTTAAGTGGGGAAAAAATAAAGCTACAGAAAAAATAGTAAAATGTGATCCCATTTACTTAAAATAATCAATCACAAAGCAAAACTATAATGCTCTCTGCACTAATCTACAGACATGTATTCATGCAAAAAACATCTGGGAGACACACACACAGACCCCTAATTAGTATTAATGGGACAAGGAATAGGTTGAAGGGCGGGGGTGCAAGTGTAATATTCCTCTGCTCTTCATCATGGGAATTTTATAAAAAGAATGTGTTCCTTTATATTTGCATAGTAATAAAATGACTAAAACTGTAAGCATATCAGAAAGAGTCCAAAAGCACCGAAGCACCCTGAGCCACGTAAGAGACCCGCCCCCCACCTAATTCCAAGTTTCTTTTCATGAGAATTGTCTCAAATACTACAGGTAGACAGTTATTATTTAGGAAACTTAGCAATTTATTTTTAAATTTAGATTCTCCGCAAAGACTACACATTTTGATCAACCTCCAACACTACTTTTGTTTGGCTCTGAGAAAGCAATGACCACTTTAATGCCTTGTTTCACATAAAAAGGATCACCATTCACCACCTCATTCCAAGCATCCTGGAATGTTGAGGCAGTTTGTGTATGAACAGTCCCAGGGCGGAGAAATAAATAAATAAGTAAATAAACAAACAAACAAACTTTGAAAATCATTTACTTTCCTTCTTGAAAAGAAAACAATAATGTTCCTTGGAAAGCTAAAATGTATTGAAGGAAGAAGGTCAGATGTAGGAACCACGCCCAAAGATGTCCAATTATGAAGAGGATAAAAGGTGTCTTGGAGCTCTCATCCTTAAAGCGTTTCTGTGACTCCCTTGTCCAGAAGCTCCACACCACCTCCACCAAATTAAGAGAAAATGGATTGAGGAGATCAAGGCAGGGAAAGCAAATTGTCCATTTATTCCTGGTCGCCTCAGAAGTCATTACTGAACGTATTCCACAAGATAATAAATAAAACTGATTGTGTGGTTAAGAACATTAGAGGAACCTGGAGCGCCTGTAAAGAGCATTGTGCCGAGAAAAGAGTATTAAAAAGTGAGGCGTTTCCTCTCTGCACGTTTCAGCATGGTGGCTCGGGAGAGAAACTATAGTTGAAATGGATAGGAGCAATTTTCCATCATTATAGAAACCTTACACAACCTCTGACTGCTTATACCCTCATCTCTTAGCATCCTAGTAAATTGCCGTTATTTGTTCCAAACAAACCAAAAGGCCCGTGGTAAAATGGAGTAATTTAAGGCTAGAAGAATACGGTACCTGTAATTCAATTTCATGGCAGCTGGTTTCACAACATGCTCCTCTACCTTCGCTTATGACACAGGAAACTTCCTTCCGAGTGTAAACTCTGCTCTCACTAAGCTGAGGGCTCACGATAAGTGGACCTTAAATGGACAGAGACAATCACCACTGGCGAGGCGTAACTCAGCTTCAGTTCCCCAGGCAACTCAACATCCACTCAGGTCTCAGGCTAGCAAGAAATCAAACTCTCTCAATTCTGAGTGGGAAGCAAGGTGAGTTACTAAAGAAAGAAGTGCTCCAGGAAAACCACAAAAGAGGGGCTGTACAATATTTGTGTAAGTGGATATATGTAAATATATATATATTTAGAAAATCTAAACTGTTCTTTGTAAAAGAACTGAAAATAAAACAAAAGACTGCTAATAGCAATAGCTGGTTAAAATGTGATCGGTGATGATATAATTGAATGAAAATAACAAAATATGTCACTGTATTTCCTGCTCTTTGCTAAGCCTCTAAATCTGGATCTAGTTACAATTGTGGGTAGAGGAGAGAGAGACACCAGAAAGGAAAGAGTCTGGGCCTCTCAGATTAGAAATCGTAGTCTGAGGCCATTAGCTTTGCCAGTATAGAAACTGGACCTTATCCGAGAACTGGGTTGGACTGAAATGGACTGACTCAGATCAATCACACTCGCAAGAGTGATGCATAAGCCCAAAAAAACCAATATCCTCATTTGCCATGAAAACTATAACTGCCAAATTAAATGAATATTTAAATTCTCTAAGGTGATGGGTGTGTGATTGTGTAATCATTTCACAATGTATATGTATATTAAAACATCACATTGTATCTTTTAAATATGTACAATTTTTATTTGCCATCTCATTAAAGGTGGAATGAATACGAACATTAAAAATAAAATGTAGAATGGAATCATAGAAGTAATTAACATTTGATGACTCTGCTATCTGATGCAAACCAGTATTAACATTAACATTAATATTACTATTGGGAAACACTGAATATTTACCTTTGTGCTAACCAACTTCTCACTACTCCAAGAATTTAGGACCATTATTGTCATTTTAGAAATGAGGAAAATGTGGCTCAGAGAGGTTTTGCAATCACCCAAAGTGACAGCTGGTTAGAGGCTGAGTAGGCAATCAAAGCCTGGCAGAGTGATCCAGAGCTTGTTGCCTCCCACAAATCTCCTGCAACTTGCTGATATGGGTCATGAGAACGTTTATAAAATGCTGTCTTGAAAACTTTCGACTTCTGCCTAACAAAGTGCTATCATACACATTTCCTTATTAATTTCTTATATCAACCCCATTAGTAAGAAAGGGTATTACTATCCTCCTTTCCTAGATGAGGACAGATAAGCCAAGGGACTTGCTCAAGTTTTCATAACTGATAAGGGAAGATACGGAACTTGGACTCAGAGTTTGACAGCAAAATTTTCTTTCTCTGTAGCTCCAAGATTGGAAAACGTGTTGACATTCAGGATGCTGAAGACAAGTTGATGTGGAATCACATTAACTAGGTGGACATTTATGAAAAGGAAGGTGATTCTATCTGTATTTGACAAGAATATATGGAATGCAGGACTTCCGGCTACTCCTCTTGGCATCAAGAAATTGCTGGAGGTTTGTGTTTTAAGTGAGTGCATGCTGTTTTAAGAGGTTGATCTGATGCGCTAACATTTAAAGGTGATTTTAAAAATTAGTTTAACTCTAAGAAGCAAATCTGTCATTTCATGAAGAGAGCAGTGGGCAGGGAAATTCCTTTTCTTCAAGTCCTCCTACCCATACATATTAAAATTAGCTAAGAGATGTAGAAATTGAATTAAAGTGAGACATAAGAAAGAACTTTGCTGTTTTAATGGCTGGGATGTTCTTGATTATGCAGCATTAGCCACAGACAAGATTTGAACTACAATAGGCACAGAGGTAAAGACAAGGAAAAGAGTGTTCCATTTTCTTCTGGGACCAAGCACTTCTGATATTGATGAAGTAGACTGAGGGCTAGGATGCATGAGAGAGCTTTGAGATGTACGGTAGATGGTAGCCTCTGTTATCATGTAAGTCTACTTAAGACAAAGGGAAGGATTCTGAAGCAAGATTTAACATCAAGTTTGCAGAAATTAGCGAGAATCTTTAGGGCCACCACATTCCCAATTTCTATTGGACAGGACAGAGAGGCATCACAAAGACTGCCTGAGCACTGTGAGAAACGATAATGGGGACTCTGGCATTCTTTACCAGCCTTCTCCCTCTTGCACTCAGGCAGCCATGAATCATTTCAGAACCCTCTTGTCTGGCCAGAGAGGGCTGCTACAGTGTCCTGGGCTGGGTATCCAGGAGGAATGCTAAATCTACATTGGCATTCACCTGTATGAACCGCTAGGGTAAGTTGAGCGCACAGGGAGGGGTTGAACGGCCTTTACTTAGCAGAGTTGGGCAAATATCCCAGATGCTGGCACAACAGCAGAGACGCAGGAGTTCTGGCCAAAGGGTGTAGGAGAATTGCATGGGCTTCGGAGTTATAACTTTGGCATGCAATGCTAGGTCTCACAGATTGGCCGTGTATACTTAGTTCCCTTCTTGGAGGCCCAGCACACATATCCATGCAACGAGGAACCTTAAAGCGTATTTATAAATTAGACGAGCATATCTACTATTTATTGCTGAACACAAAAG